CTTCAACAGCCCCTGGTATATCATTGGTAATAATCCGCTGGGATCTTGGCTCAAGCTCATCCAAGCACGGCGGATAATTTAGTTGGAGCACAAGGACTTGATTATCGTTTCTAAAAATTCCCTGATAAAAGCTTCATGAAGAAGAAAAACGTGAAAGCTGCATAAAGCTATAGAGTTCAGAGATTCAAAACAAAACAAATACCTTGGATTGAAGACAGCAGAAGTGACCATAGCAGAATACTTTAATCGGTGCAGACAGGCTCCTTCAAGCACATTCCAAACAGCTACTGTTGTATCCGCCGAAGCAGTCAACAATTTGCGACCATTACGGGACCAGGATAGAGAAGATACAGGTAGAGCATGTGCCGTCCAGGTCTGAAATGTACAAAAGTTAAAAAGTTGTAGACAAAAAGAATGGAAAAGATGCAGCAAAAAGTACAACCTACCTTTACTATCCCTTTTGTAACGAAATCAAAGATGAATATTCGACCGTCAGTGCTCCCCACAGCCACAAGCGTACCCCAACGATTGAATTTGCAACAATTTGCAGCTCCATTCTGAGGTCATACAGTTAGAACAAGAAAAACGACAACAACAAAAAAGACAGTAATATTCGCCCTAACAGAAGAATCATGAAAAGAAAAGAATTGAAACTCTATGATGATGTTGAAAGATAGAGTAACACGAAGAGATATATTTACCTGTAAATCGAGAGTCCCATCTAACTCTTCTGGGAACTGAACGCCAAAATTCCTCTCCAAAAGCTCTGCGTTCATCATCTTTGTAACTATAAAACACTTATGGCTTAAACTGTAAGATTAGCACAAAAAATTTCAGAATGGACGCTTCAGAAACGTAAAAAATGAAGATGAATTCCCAAATCAACCGAAATTCTAATGAAACAGAAACTTATACGTATGTGTACCTTCAAGAGAGAGTAAAGCAACAATGTAAAGTAAACTGAACAGTCCTGTGCATGGTAGATTTAATAACGCAGGTAATGCACACTTGCGCGACGCGTCGACTTTTCGCTAGATGTCTACCTATCCTACCATACCATTCCTTATTGTTTACTTCATCCTCTGAACCGATAAACAAGTTAATAAAATGACTTTTGTCAGATTCTAACAGCTTTGGATCCCTTAACTTTGACTAACGAGTTCAACCTTGATCTTCCTCTCACTTCAAATTTGTATTCAGTAAAACATTCAAAATTTCATAAATACAAGTTATAAGTTATAACTAGTAAACGTGGGACGTCTGCGGCTATAGCGTCTCTTAGTCCGTTTACGATACTATCTAACCTATAATCTTTACTCTGCCTCTCCTTTCTCACAACTTTTCTTCAATAAAGACCATCTAGTGGGGAGTTTTGGTGGAGGAAAATAGGATGGCAGAGAAAAATGAAAGAACCAACAGTTTGCTTTGCATTATTTCTCTCTCAGTTTCGTCGCTCGCG